GATTGGCCAGCTATCCAGTGCGTTGTGATTGGCCGAATACCTCAAGCGTGAGACGGAAATGTTACGCCCCTGTAAGAATTACAGAACCTCAGACACTTTGATTTTCTGAGACAGACAATACACACACAGTGCATTAACATACAGACATCTGTTTCCACATCTCACTGAGAGAAAATGCGGAAAACGTCTCTCACATATGCATCAGTTCCGAAACTCAGATACTTTGATCTCCTGAGAAACAGACAATACAAACTTACACGGGCATCTTGGAGAAACCCCACAGAGTGGCGGTGCAGGAAACGCCTCTCTCACATATGCATCAGTTCCTTTTCATCTCCTCCCTCCACTTGATTCACTCAGAATGGTCAATAGTATGTTCTATATAAATGCAAATAAGATTTACAGTCACGTTTGGTATCATTTGAATAGTCTCAGGGCGAGTGGTACAATGGTCTTAATCTTACAAAAGTAGACTAAAAGAGTTAAGAGATACTTTGATTACTGTAGAGGGTCATTCCATGCAAATTACCTTCTGTTCCCAGTGAGGTGTAGACCACCCAGGTCTGGGACCTGGGTTAATGCAAATTCCAATTGTTTGTACATGCCTCCATTTGGGGGATGTTTTATCTTGGTTGTGTATTTAAAGGATTGCAGCAAAAGGGTCGGCGCGATTCTGTAGCCAGAAAGCCACACACTTCATACTATGTATTTTTCTAAAAGTCAGGTATGCATCTTACTCTTAGATTCGTCTGTGAGAATTTGATGTCTTGTATTGATTTGATATCTTTGAATTGGCTATGTAATTGGCATAATACATATTTACCTGACTGATAATAAATTGTTACATTTGATTTATTCTGACTTTGAAATTATTTTCTCAAGTAGATTAAGTGAAGGCGTATGTTTCCGCAAATCTGCGTCCAGGGTTAAATGCATACTAGATCTCAGGTTAGATGAAGCATGGGGCGCATCAAGTGAGATTATAGATTTCTGACTAACTGCTTGACCTAGTTAAATTGTACTCAGTTGCGTTAACTATGGGGGCTAGTCACAGGACTGGTCATAACCACTGGTTATTGTCTCAACCTTAATTAAGTTGTACGTAGTTATATTAACTATCGGGGGCTAGACAAAGGGTTCTAGCAGAACCGCTGATTATTGTTTTGAGCTTTAACTAAGTTGTACATGGGTAACTGTAGGGGGCTAAACAGACCTACTATTTAAAGCATATTAAATAGTATTAGCCACAAACCTCTGAATAAGGATCAAACTGACGAGTTTTGTGATCGTGGGTCCCACGCATAGCGGCCGCCGTGAGGCACCCTAAGCGACATAGATTCCTAATGAACGAGTAAATATAAAGTAAAGAGTTAACTAGAATAACCAAATGTCAGAATAATAGCAATAATTAGAGACAGACAAACAACCAATTTGCCTTTCAACCTAAATTCGAGGTCATACTAAAATGGAGTCAGATTAGATGATAAAATGGAGTCAGATTGAGTTAAACCTAAATTGAATAACTCTGCGCGCTGAAAAGACCCAACTTTACAGATCTTCTTTATGCACCAAGAGCTTGTAACACTCCAAAGAGAAAGGAAAAATTGAAATCGCATCATATAACCCCTCTAAATTAGTTTTTTTTCCCACATCAATGTACACTCCATACACCATATTGACAAAGCAAAAACAGAATTGTCACAACTTGGCATTTGGTCTCATACTCTTATCGCATACCTTGCTTAGCCCTTTGTTGTGATAAAGAGTAAATTGTGTTCAAGAGCTAGCAAAAGACAGTGTAAAGAAATACTCTGAGAGAAGCAATCAATCAGCGGAAGTTAAAAGCAGATAGTAAGTGTATTTATTTCTTGTCTCATTAGCAGGGACGGACTGGGAGTAAAAAACGGCCCTGGATTTTCTCCCAAATAGGCCCACCACAACCACAAGCAATCGCTACTATTTGACAATATTACAGCAATACTATCGCATTTATGGCAAATAACATCACAAAACCCATGGTGACCCTGCTGACAAAAACAATAGAGACCATCACAAAAATTCGAATGATTTCCACTATCCACTACAATACAGACATTACAAACCATCAACTTTTAACCATTAACCAGTTTCCTGAAGTGTGTTTTGGGTTTTGGGACATTAGGATTTAGTGGTTTTAACAAAAGCCACCAACAGAAGGCGACCAATTACCAGTAGAGACCAACAGGCACCATTACAGTTTCCATTAAAACCAATACAATTTTCATTATAACCAGTAAAACTATTACAAATTATGTGATGGTTTCTATTTTTTTTTCAGCAGGGGATTGAAATAAATGTATTATTGTATGAACTAAAATACTTGAAATCTACATAAAAA